TTTGCTTGTAGAATGCAATTGACCAGACTTATGAAGCACTTGATCGCGCTTCAAACCCAGCCCCGCTGCACCCTGTGAAGGCTTCAGCATTAGCGCGACGACGGCAGTTGCTGAAAAGTGGTGAGGGGGTATGAGAAGAGAACAGGTTTAGTATTTTCTTCAAATTCTACAGCAGCAGTTTTACAGTTTGACCCTGTTGTAATTTTTCTAGTACAAATGGTTTTTGGAAGTTTAATCTTTCATCTATTTATGGTTTTGCCTATTTGCTTTTTTGTTGCCCGGGAAAATATGGGTTTGGCATTCACCATCCCGTATTTGATTAAAATGATCAAATTTTTTGTCACGAACACAAAGTATTTGTAGCGTCTTCTGTTTTTTTTTTTTTTTTACGTTTGATCGGGTAGTATTTGCTTTTCAAGAGCGACAACTGATTCATAGTTGGGAATTTTCTATCTGTAAAGCATCTGTACATTTGTTGATGTTTTTTTAGCTGAATACTTTTTATTTTTTTCTGCTGTAATAACTTCTTTAAGTGTACAATACCTAGGCAGTTGTTTACTTTTTAAAGCTTGACAATTTTCAATTTCACGCTGTTAAGTTTTTTCTTCCTCATGCTTCTTTTCAAAAAACTTAACGAAACAAAAGTGTAAATTACCAAACTCGTCGGTCACGTTATACTTAGGCATTCCATTTATTGCTGTTTGACTAAGGCCCTTTATTAATGCTCTGTTTCCTTTCGGAAGCAGTGCTAGAACAGTGTTATTCAGTTTATTATGTTGTAGAAATTGATAACTGTGTCCACAACAAATGGATCTCTTTACCTGTGATTTTAGAACAATTGGAGTACTGTCTTGATATGTAATCTGTAAAGGCCTCTCCGCTAGCTTTCTCTCCTGTTGTTGTGATATTTATTTTTTGTTTAATATTATTATTATTACTATTGTTATTATTATTATTATTATTATTATTATTATTATTATATTATTATTATTATTATTATTATTATTATTATTATTTTTCATTATTATTATTATTATTATTATTATTATTATTATTATATATTAAAAGCAAGTTGTTAGGTGTATAATTTGGAGATTGCACATTGCTTCTTGTTCTTCTGTTTTTCTTTTTTTGTCGGTTGTATGTTTACGTTTTGGAGGGGCTCCAAGCCGCACCCGGAGCCAAAACATTTCTTCAAACACCCCTCAGAGTAAGAATTGTTAGGGAGAGACGCGCAGGGGAAGCAGGAGGTGAGGCTTTGATTGAACAAAAGTAGCCAAACGTGTTGGTAGATTCGCAACTTCACGGGGACTTGAGAGGTTGTGCGGATCTGTCCTTTGCGCTGTTTGTTTTGGTAATTTGATGACCTCCTAGAGCTCTACATGCCAGAACGGGGTGGGTTCTGGTTTTTTTTTTCTTTCTACGATAGGGTGTGCAGTTGCCATTTTAGTTTGCAAGATTGGCTGCACTTACTGCACTCTTCTCACTATGGGGATTTTATATGTTCTGGAGAGGGTAGCGCTGCATAATGCTGTCTGAAATTTGAGATATCGTTTTTGGGTTTTTTCGATTTTTGTTTACTTGTTTTTTTTCACTTTCTAGTGTAGCTTTTGTAAGGAGTATATTATTCGGCGTTTGTAAAACAAAATTTAAACGAGCAGTAGAACCATAAAGGTGCAGGTCACAGAGGTTTGTGCTCTTAAAATGGGTGTTTTTTATGTAAAAGCCTGGAAAATTCTGTGCTCTGACGGAGGAGTTCATCTCCTCGGGTTCTCTCATAACTTTTTTAAATTGGAAGCTTAAAGTCTGTTAACCACTGAAAGGCGAAAATGATTGAAGATATCAATTAAACATGTGCAGTTTGACTGTGAATAAGGTATTTAGTTAATTAACTGATTTTTTTTATTTACTCGTTTAAATTCTGTTTATTTAGTTATAAATGGACCATTTCTACGCCAACCGGGCAAGCCTTCCAGTCGACCACAAATTTTTTTTATTTCTGGGCCATTCCACGCCAAATCGCACAAGTTTGAACCTCAAC